AAAATGACTGAAAATTGCAAACTTCGCAAGGCTATATTATCCGCATTTTACAACATTTCGCAACGAAACTTTGGAATATTACTAATTTTGTGATGCTCGTTCAAGCTGTGATGAAATTCTTGTCTAGACTTGTTGAGATCAAAATTTTGTCTATTACGCAAATCAAATGGTCAATTGTACCACTAAATTCGTAGTACTATTTTCCCGTCAGTCTTAAATTTACGCGATTAATTCCGCGCATCCTATATTAATGCGGGGATTATTTTTGTAGTTTTAATTTCGCGCGTCTTGAAGCGGAACAAAACTAAATAAGGGACGGACCATTAGATTTTGGGGGGGGGGGGGGGCAATTCTTCTGTGCACGAATTTTTTTTCATCCCCCAATTGCTTGCAAGAATTTTTTTTTCGGCAACATTCCTTTGCACGATATCTTTTTTTAGACGACCTAAAAAAATTTTCCCCGAAAGTTCGCCGAAAAGTTCGTCGACGGCGGGGAGGGGGAGGGGGCATAATTTTTTTAGATTGTCGTAAAAACACCATTTTAATGTTTTAGAATAATTGCATTACGATTTTAAAAATCAGCCCTAGTTCTTGCTCGATTTTTTTCCCAATAGGTTTGTTGTGCACGATATTTTTTTCTGGATTTTTTCTGTGCGCGAATTATTTTTTGGTATTTGCCCCCCCCCCCCTCAAATATTTAATGGTCCGTCCCTAATCACACTTCTATTAAATCATGGTTTTCCCCTGTTCAAATGACATTGGACACTTTTTACGAAAGTGGTGATTCACCAATTTTTACGAAAGTGGCGAATAGTCTTATTAATAGAGTTTTCGGGCCACCAGAACTCGAAAAATCCCAACGGAAAAAATAGCAGGCCAATTTCTTTATGTAACTGCGATAACAAATAAAATCAATGGCAAACACATATTAATACATATTGTCATATTGAATTGATATTGTGTGTCACGGCTGGTGACAAAGTTTACACACGGATTATTTTTCGCACATATTACAACATGCAGCAAATCTTTTTTCACTCTCAATGAGTTTTCAATTCATTATCATAAATCGAGGTGCTTTTTCCGGTGGCGTTTTCTCCGCAAATATTTATTTATTACCTCGGGTCGGTACGACACCGAGGTCATAAATTCGGCTCCTATTTTTTTTTTTATTTTTTTTTTTATTGTTTTTCATTTGTGTCGAGCCGCGCACGTAGTCGAAGGAGCCTGAGGAGGAGATGACAACTTCCGGTAAATAAGTGTACTTCCGGATTATTTCAAGCATCGGCCAAAGCGAAACGGAACCCGAAGCTGTCCTTGCACAAAATCCGTCAGAATTGTTGATTTAAAACCAGAAGATGTGATAATTTTGACATACATGTTTAACTGGACAACTATTCTCGAGTATATGTTGATATAATGTACAATACATCGTATGCATAGCATGGGAATACCGCGGCCAGCTTTCACTTGTTATCTATTATAATTACTGACCCGAATCAAAAGTAATTATTTTCGGCTGGAAGACTACTGTACGTTGCTGCTTGTCGGGACCGTATGACAATGAACCTATCCAACGTTACACTAGACATTTGTGAGGACATGCATATAGACATAACCATAGGCACTGTAGTGTATTGTGATAGAACAGATTTCAGTTTAATTAATCGCCCTAAATTAAAATCTCCACAATTTACATATTATCATTAATGATAAGGTTTACTCAAATAACGTATTGGATAAACACGGGAATAGAACTTATGGTGTATTCTGCACATGCGTATATCTAGGATAAAATCCCACAAGCGCAAACGAAACTATTTCTCTATAAAATTGAACTGAAAAGACTCACATGTGCTCACAGCGACCGTTTCCAACAGTGCTTCAGGCACCCGACGACACCGTATGGGGGGCCTTTAGCACTGTCACCTTCTCATCTTGGGATGTTCACGTTATCGCGTGTACATGTCAGGGTGACGAAGATGCATTATTGCTAATAATGTCTGTGTGCACTGATGCGCGCTGCATTATTTTGAATAATGTTGTGTGCTATTTTAACGCGTACATAGAATATGACGCGTATAAACATTTACCCCTGAGCCGGAATTTCCCTATACAACCAAAAAGGCCGCTCCCGGTTTTCAGTAGAACGTTAAATGAAAACTTCTCGACATTCGCTGATATAATGCAGAGAGAAAACAATAGGTTTGATGAGGGCCAGTAATTATTGTCAATAAAATATTAAAACGGAGCTTTGATTAACTGATTCACCATTTATACTAGTGAACTATTAAACTATCGTGATTTATACAATTTTTGGATATTTACAAGACGATCCCCTATCCACCGACCCGAGGTTAACGCCGAGTCGGCGTCTTGTTTATAGTATAAACTTACTATTTTTATTTGTATACACGACTAGAAAATCGGGGTTTTTATCATAAAGTTTGAAGCAACACTATTATTATGTTGCGAAAGGTCAAAATGAGTCAAAATATTACTACAAAATAGAACTTAGTTTAGTCATAAAATGTTTTTATAGTTAATGTAATAACTACTGGACAGTATAAATTGCTTTAGTGGTTGGTTTCTGATCAATTTCGGATCACAAAGTTATGGGGCTAATTTGAGAACTTGTGAAATCTACAAGGCCTTTACGAGGCAAATGACCATTGCGATAATTACCAGTCGAGTTAAGGCCTAGGTCTAGGCTGGGCGAAAACATGAAAAGTAATTTCTATATCTTTTTCTACACTACAGAATTACAAGTGGATTTATAACTGCCTACATGCAGGTATTAACTTCCAACAGCGTATCTTCGAGGTACCTACATACGAATGTTGTCAACGATGCGAATTACCTGACTTCTCTGACTGTATGCGGAGATATAGCGGGGCCGTGGCACAGTGTAATAGCGAGGCCTTACGATGTATAGCACGTTGTATCAACAATAAGGGGCCAACAGCTGGACAGCCCGGACCGCCCGGACCTCCCGGTCCCCCTGCACCAAAGAAATGTCCCGTGAAGCGCAAGAAAGTGCTGGGAGGTTCTGACTGCCTTGAACGATCTTGTGTGAAAATCTAAAGTCATTTCATATTACGAAGTTCGTCCGAAGATTTGGTTAAAAAACACTATTAAGAATTTACTTATTTGTAGGACTGAAGACTAGATATATGATAATATTTACAATTAGAAGTTACAATTTACCAATGTATGTTAGTTTAAAATTCGCTCTTTAAAACTGAGCCAGTACTTTTATACATGGCAGTATAGTATACCTTGTCTATTCTTTCTATTCGATCGTGTTGCTTCATGAATGTTCCTGTCCATCACTGTATTCTGAAGAATGAAAGAAAATTAGTATTCGATTTAAGTAACTCTGCATGTCAGTTCTGAGCTGTTCATGCTGGAAGTCCATGAGTATTATAAAGAGTCACAATTTATACGTAATCAATATATTTCTTTCATACTATTGTCTACGGGGGTCAGTTATTTAATTTCCTTATTTTTGACTATTCATTGAATATTATAGTTGTGCTGACGAAAATCTGGGATTACGGATTGAAAACTTTGCCTAATAATAATTGTGTTGTTTTTCGGGGTCGACGTATCATTTCCTCCTTGTTCGTTCCTTAATTAATTATCACCGCAAATGCAGTACGACTGATGATGGTTGAACAGTAAATATAATTGAGTGTCTTTCAAAAATTATCTTTTTTTATAAAACTAAAGAAACGACAGCATGACCATGGACTCATGAGAAGGAGTCAGCTTCTGCGGACGATCGTGACGCGCGGTAAGAATTGGAAGGAAGCGTTGCTTAATTTTGACATCATCTAAGCATGTTCTGGAACTTTGGGTGGGTGTTTTGTAATTTGAATGTTTCAGCAAAGCACTTAGGCTTTGACACAAGTTAGTTTAAAATATTCGCTCACGCCTGTAAGTCTTTCAACGCAAAGACCTCAAAGAACCGATCAAATTACAAGTCTTCCTGTCAGCCGATAAACAAGCAATAAAACGACGCGAAATTTCGCTGGGGTTTATCATTCTAATTGGAACTCGAGAAAGAACAGTGCAGTATCAATTTTAATAACGGTAAATAAGAAGGCAAGATTTGATTGAAGATTTTTCAAAGACATATAGCCTACTAGGCTTCGATTTCTAGCAGTATCAAAGAAAAGCGAAGGTAATTACCTATTCGCATTTATCTACGTTTCCACTATATTTCAGTCATCATCAGGATATAAACATGCACTTACACTTGTTTTGTATTTTGTTAAAATACTCAGTGGATCTAAAAATATATGATTGTATATTGATTTGATTATCAATGCGTCGTATTTTTTGCGCATATATATATACCGCGATAGATCGTATTTTTAAAATTTTTTTTCCTACATATAATCTAATGGTTTCATATACAGTTCTGCCAATTATAGCTATACTACATTAACTAGGGCTACTAACTAGGAGCCTATAAACTCTCCCAAAAATTGCGGCAATCACTGAGTCTGAGTATTTTAATAACTAAACTACTGTATTGTAACTATGTAACCTTATATATAGTAATTACTAATTGTTGTTTTTCTACTTAGCCTAATCTGATATGAATGAACTACTTACCATCTTGTTCTTTTCAGTTTGCGAAATCCCGAATCAAATATGAGAATTTATTTTGTCCTGTGCTTCGCGGCATTCGTTGCCTTCACCCAAACTCAACTTGGACTCGCCGGTCCTCCCGGCCCCCCTGGAAAGAGGGGGCCCACTGGCTCAAAACGAGTCCGAATTACCCCCTATTGTCGAGTGAGCTCGAAGATCACAAATTTTCTGAAGCAATTTCGTTCCACCGGCCTTAAAGGAGCAAGTGGCAAAAAGGGTAGTGCTGGTTTAAGATTTAAATCGAAGCAGAGTCGTTTCGCGGTGAGTTATAAAGTTTACATGTAATGAAAATGATATTGATGGTTCAAACACTTTTCGGTTTAGACTGTTCTGCAGTTTTTGTAAAGTAGCCGAATAAAAAAAGTCAACAGTCTTCTCAGTAATCAGTGACGCATCTATTGTGATTGACCACCATTTGCTGTATGACATGCAATCGTCAAATAATATCCGAAATATGTAAGATAATAGACAAAGAGTCGAAAATGCAAGAAATACTTAAATAATAGTCGAAAATGCAACAAGTATGTAATGCTAGGAAAAACGTTAACGAATTCGAAAATAACAACATAAAACGCTCACTGAGTTACCAGCGATATACATACCCTTTTCTAGATATATACCTAATAATAATAAACGAACGAACGAATGTATTCCTTCCACTCGTGAGCTCATACCGGAAGGAGGGCGTTGTGCCAACAATTTCGTAAATTGTTCACGAAAACTTTTTTGATAAGTAGGGCAAATTCCATTCTACCCCTAATTTGTTTACTCCCGTACGGCTATATGAATTGAGTTCATCTAAGAAAAGTAATTTCTATATCTTTTTCTACACTACAGAATTACAAGTGGATTTATAACTGCCTACACGTGGCTTTTAACTTCCAACACCGTATCTTCGAGAAATCCACTTACCAATGTTGTCAACAATGCGAATTTCCTGGCTTCTCTCGTTGTATGCGGAAATACAGCGGGGCCGTGGCACAGGCCAGGTGTAATGGCGAGGCCATACGATGCATAGCACGCTGTATCAACAAGAAAAGTCCAACAGCTGGTCGGCCCGGTCCAACAGGTGGTCGACCCGGTCCCCCTGGGCCTGGAGCAAAGAAATGTCCCGTGAAGCGCAAAAAAGTTGGAGGTTCGTACTGCCTTGAACGATCCTGTATCCGTGTATGAAAATCGAACTGAAGTGTTGGCCATTACAAACGGTTTGTCCGAAGATTTGGTCAAAAAGCTGTTAAATTAAGAATTTATAAGACTTTTTATATGACTGAAGACTAGCAAGATAATAAATATACGTAGTATTTACTATGAGAAGTTACCATTTACCATTGTATGTTTAAATTAATTTCGCTTTTTAATTAAAACTGAGCTATCACTTTAAATGACAGTACCTTGTCTGTATTTTCTATTCGTGTTCGTTTATGAATGTTCGACTAATCCTCCTGTTCATTGTTGTATTCTGTAGAATGAAAGAAAATTAATTAGTATTCGATTAAATTAAATTAAGTAACTCTGTCAGTTCTGAATTGTTCTTGCTAGAGGTCCTGTAATATTATTATCTTTACAACAGTTGTGATATTACTTTCTTAACTATGTTTATCCTAACCCACCCTGTCAACTTTTCCTGTGGGAGGAAACTGCAGCACCCGGAGAAAATCCACGATTTTCGGCAGAGCGTTAACTGACTCTTCTCGCATGAGTCCATAGCGAGTAACGAACCCACGATCTCAGAGGTGAAAGGTGCTTGCTCTGACGACTGCACCACCGCGAAGCCCCTTAGTTAGTGTTTGAACGTTGGTCGACAATTATTCCGTCCTTTCATGAGTGCAATCACGGTTAATAGAACTAGAGGTGCAATAACCAACAAAGGAACAGCGCGCGTGGAGCCTAAGGATGGATTTCCTGTGCATCATCCGCCAAACGGGATAGCGTGAAATTTATCGAGGGCGTATGTATAATCATCACTCATCGACGGATATTTATGACGTGAAATAACAACATCGAACATGTAAAAATATCTTTGACTTCCTTCATCTCAGAAATTAGTATTCGATTTTATAAGTAACTCTGTCAGTTCTCAGCTGTTCATGCTTAATCAATATATTTCTTTCATACACTATTGTCTACGGGGGTGTTTATTTAATTTTCTTATTTTTAAATTCCTTGAATATTAATTGTGCTGATGAAAATCTGGGATTACGGATTGAAAACTTTGCCTAATAATAATGGGGTCTTTTTTCGGGGAAACATGTCATTCCTTCCTTGTCCGTTCTTTTTCACCGCAATTGCAGTAAGACTGATAATGGTTGAACAGTGCTCCAGCTAAGATCTGTATAGCTAGTATTGCATGCCATTAGAGAGTTTAAGCTTCGCGTTATACG